AAAAAATGATAATTAAAAAAAAAAAAGGGAATCCAAAAAAAAACAATAAAAAAAAAAAAAAAAAAAAGAAGAGAGAAAATATTACAAAACAGATAAAGCAGCAGTTGTTCAACGTGTTTCACACTTCATGTCATTATAAAATGATGTATTTCATTGATACACTATAGGTATTATTTAGCTAAAATTTCTAAACAGGGCAGCTTGAAATAATGGCTTGTGAGTGATTTAAGATTCAATTACATCTGGAGCCACTAGCTTGATGCAACAATATGTACTAGAGTTGAATTTAATTTTAAAATTTTCTTTCTAAGCCAAATTTCTATTCATAACCTCAGAGGACTGGCAGAATTTATATGCATGTTTCCAAATTACAAACAACTATGGATTTTAGGAAAAAAGTTACTATTTTCTTTAGACCTGCGAAGTAGATGCATAGTCCACATTAAATCATTGGGTACTCTGTTAATATTTACTTTCCTTAGCCAAAAAGTATCTATTGTAATTGGTCCAATGCAAACACTAATACAAAAAGTAATCCTGAAAAGTGATATAAAATAACAAATCCACCATGAAATCTTCTAGTTAAAAAATAATCCATCAAGATGATTACCATTATTGTGGGAATATGCAGTTCTCTGATAAATTAAGTCTGTTTTGGGAGATATTTAAAGTAGAGATTACTATTCTCAAACAAATATTTTCAACACACATATTTAGCAGATTTTACTTAGGAATAGAAGAAACACAAAAAAAAAAAAAAGGAAAAGTGCCATGGTCTTGAAAATTGGGCAATGATTTCCTAATAAAAAGCTTTTCCTAACAGTTTATATATATTCATATATATGTATATATATATATATATATAAATATATATAAAACTGTTGAAGTGGACAAATAAGTTCCACTGGAAACTTATTGCAACAGATGCTTCTGTAAGAGAGTGATAATGACTGTTTTTACAAAGACCTATATTATTATTTAATATTGATTTTGAACCATTAACAGATCTTTGAAAAAATTATTGAAACTAATCAACAGCTGTAATTTCTGGCATGCAATTATTGGGTAATTCCTCAGCTCTCAAGACAAGTTTACATTAGATATCTATGTGTTTGGGTGAAGGGTTCAGTAAATGCACAACACATAATATCTACACTACTCTTGATACTAATCCATAATATGTAATGAAGTTGGGTTTTGTTAATTGTTGGATGAAACAGAGGATCTTTCTCAACAAAATCTGGTTTGCATCATTCCTATGATAATATTCTTTTGTACTGAAAGGTGGAAAAACCTGCCAGAATTAAACAGACTTCACAACTGATGAAATCTGGAGGAAAAGTCGAAAAGGAAAATGGGGAAAAGGAGACCAGGGCACATGAGATTATTATTCAAGACAATAGGTACTTGGCCCCATCTTTAAATCCTACAAATTAGCCACCTACATGCTTCATGTCTGACCTTGAAACTTCCAAAAAAATTTTGTGAACACTGAAAAGAATGGAAGACTGAACAAATACAGCAGCCCATTCCTAATCCCCAAGAAAGGCTCAGTGTAAACCCAGCTCCTCTTCAACCATCATCCATTCATGTATCACCAGTTATATTCAGGTTTGAAGCTTTACTAAAAGAGAAATTTCTAGACAGCTGTCTATATTTATACTGAAAAAAGCTACTTTTCTCTTCAAATCTTCAAAAGCCATTTCTCTTCAAATATGATGAATAAGAAATCAATTCAACAAATATCTTCAGGAATCTTTTGAATATATCACTGCCCAAAATAAATAATAACAGAAAAAAAATGCAACAAGTAGACATTACTTGAATTAGCCTAACTACAAATCTGACTACTATATTTAAAAACAATTTTAATTCACCTCTGATGGAAAATCCTGTACAAAAAATCCTACTTAGTCAACTGTGTACATATTTCTTGCCTATTTGAATTTTTAAATGTATGAGACAACCCAGTAATTCCCACACCTATGTTACCATTCTATGTTACAAAGGCAAAACAGGCAACATATATACAATCATATACAAAACTGAACTAGCTTAACTGCAAGAGCCATCTGTTATTCAGTCTTTTTATGGTTTAACGTTTACATTTTTTCACATCACTACAAAATGTATTTACTGGATTATAGGGAAAGATTTTGTTATACTTAGTTCTACAAGTAGTTAGTTACTGCCAAGGAAAAAAATCAAAGACATTACTATGACAATTGATCTGATCTAAATGGTAAGTTTGCTATTATAGTCTAGCTATAGGATTTTTTAAAGTAAAGAGCATCCCATAAAGATTAATAATCTATGTGACTTTCATCATTATTTTTCACAACTGCTGAGCTGAAATACCTTTCTAAGTTTTTTATGCAGTATAAACTAAAAAGAAATTCTCAGTTCTTCCATTTCATTAGAATATAGACACTTGAAACAGTGCCTACGAGGGGAGGCCAAGCGTTCTTTGAGTGTAGCTACTCCGTGTATTACAGGGAGAGGTGTAATTTTTGCACACTACAGCTGGCACTGCAACTATCCTTACTATGCCTGGGTAATGAACAAAGTTCACCAGAATGTTACATAAGATTTTGGGAGACTGCACCTGTAGGTGTTCAACATTTATAACCATATGCATCCAAACCAGCATGCATCCAGCTCCCAGCTAGGAAGAATTAATGTTTGGTATTTTGCTGGCTAGCACCACTGGTAAATTCTGGTATTACAAATAGAGCTAGGGCATACATGAAGATGCATGGCTTTCTAGCAAAAATCTCTGGGCTTCATTTGGAAAAAAGCAATGGAATAACTAGGAAAAACAGACAGGAATCATTTGTCTAGATACCTGCACTTACTGTCAACCCAGTAAACAGTTTTACTAAAAAAAAAAAAAAAGTAAAGATAATTTAACAGTGACACTATATCTATCAGTTATTCTTTCCCTTCCCCATTGCTATCAGTCACATTTCTAATGAAAATTTGAAAATTAGGCAAACTGACAACATTTCTAAACTTTTTTCCATGTTCAGGCTGACAATGTACCTTTCTTGATCAGACAAATACTGACTATCCATCTCTCTGGATCTGTAATCAACTGGAGTTCTGGAGGCATCATGGTGTCTAGTTGGAGAACGTGATCTTCTCATCTGATGAATTTCATCTAAACTCCTGAAAAGCAGAAATATGTATGACAATCTTGTTCTGTCAGGAATAACAATGGATCACAGTACAAGTTGGTGGAAGGAAGTTTTTAATCATAAGTTAATAATACATTATTTCTGAAAGAATGACATTAAAAAATATGCAATTTATACATGCCATTATTATCCTACAAATATTCTTAAGTGACTTCATACAAGATTTGGCCACTGACTGAAAAAAAATTCCAAACTTATGTACTAGTTATGGTACACAGATGATGAGTCACAGAGAAAATATGAGTAAAAGGAGGTAAGTCTTACAAAGTTATGATTCATCCCATGAGTGCTCTTGAGTGAATAATAAAAGCACATATCAAGTTCAAATACTGCACTAATAAATTTAGGTAGAAGAAACAAGCTTTAAAATTGTGAAAAATTCCTGCACAAGAGAGGTTAATAATGATACAAACAATTATACAAACGTGGAAGCACGCTGAGTTTGACTTTCACTTGTGATGCCTACCTCTGTAATGGCACATTTGGTAAACGTGAACGGGGCCTGCCCTGATCGTCACCACGGTGAGGAGACACAGAACGTGAACGATGATGTGTTGTTGCTCTTTGCTGTTCTGGCACAGTTAGCGTTGTGGATTTACTTTCTCTAGTGCTAGGCCTATAACCTACTGGCAAGAGGGTAACAAAAGGCAGTTAGAGAATAAAGGTCTGGCTTTAGAAAGAATTCAGATGGCTAGTCTCCCAGGAGTAGCTATCCAAATGCTTACACAACTTTCAGGTCATCGTTCAGCTGTTGTACATCCCGATGTATCATGCAGAATAAATCACTAGCATTACCTTTAAATGTCTACATGTACAGAGACTGAAAAAAATGAGACATCTTGGTGTACTGGAAGATGTGGAGCAGTTTTCTTACTTGGGGAAGAATATTCTGGGTATTTTGTGTATATAAGAAAATATTTGAAAGTAATCTAAACATGCATGTTTACCTCCTCTAAAAAATGGAGAAATCATACTTGCATACAACAGCACAGACTCACACGAGGCTGCTCATATATAAAGCATCTTTCTGCTCTTGCTTCAGTTATTCTCCTACTGATCTTGGCCAAAGCCACCTAGTAAAAATACTACCAGGATTTAGAGTATATTGTACTGAATATTGGGTATTGCATACTGTACAGAATATGTTTTCCAAATATTGTGGTTAGGTGGCAAAATTTCTCACAGTATTTTTAAATAGGATTAAAAAAACCCCAGTAGAATGTTAGCACATTTTCAATATTTCGATATTGTTGTGCCTTTTTCTATGTAGCACACTCTTTGCCTTGTTATACATTTTGGCTCCTGTCCTAAAACAGACAATGAAGCTCAGTAAGACAACAGTTTTCAAAAGGTACCTGTTATCTTTCCAAAAGGAGATCTGCTCAGACTTCACTTGCTCATTTCCAGACACTTAAATGAGATTACAAGAATCCCTTGACAGAAAATCCCTTAATAATATAGAAAGTCATTCCTTAAATCATCCTTTAATCACTTTACAAATTCTTGCTTAGGTATCGAAATAATAATTTTTCTTCTTCTCTGAATTTGTCTAGAATTAAAGTTACTGTAATGTGTGATCTTGTTCAGCTAAAAAAACAGCCTCTATCAGAAGTCTTCTTTTCATGAAGGAAAAGACTCTTTGTCACCCAATTGTCAATTGAAGAAATTTAATAAATTAAATAAATTGCACTTTTTATGGCTCTCACTACAGGGTTTTAACTTTGGGTTTTTTTCATATTTTTCATAATTTGTATAATTATTTTAGTTCTCCTCTGGTCTTCTACCAAATTACAAACAGTCCCTATTTCAAAAGTGTGCCCAGTAAGCAGAGTCTGCATGAGGCTTGATCAGGCATTCAATGACATTTAATAACTGCAAGTTTGAACCCTGACCACAAACATCAAAGCAGCATTCACACTTTTTTCCCCAAATATGTAAGAGTTTACCATTGCATTCTAATGGCCTCTGAAACTTGACAACATGCATGAAACTATCTACTGGAGTTTGTCAACCTTTTAACAAAGTAGGACGCCAATGTTCTGCAGGTTTTGATATTCTGTGATGCTGGAGTACCCTACCTGCCAAAAAAGTTTCAGAATTCTGTAATAAAATTATAAAGAAACATGAGGATCACCCTGATTTCAGGGTGCAAATTTTGAAGCAAAAGGGGGACTCCCTCAGGAGTTCAATAAATATTCACTAATCAGGATTTCTGCAGAAATTGTCTAGGTCTTTTGTGAGAGGAAGAAAATATATGACAAAAGGTTGATGTGTTCCCTTTCGCAGGAGAACTAAATCTAACATGTATTTTCAAAAAGATAATTCATTTTACAAATAAGCTTGTGTTACAAAAAATTGTGCCATCTCTATTAGTAGGAAGAGCATTAGGCAATTGTACTAAAGCACATACAACTTAGGTTTAAAAAATGAAATATAAATTTAAACTTAAAATATATTTCTAGAGCATTTCTAGTCTCCCTAAAAAAATCTGCACATAGGATTATCCTGTAAACTCAGCAGTCTAGTACAGAAAGATGATTTTATATTATATACTTTGCACAGCCAAGCTATCTCGGGAACAATACCTGAAACTTATGCAGTCTGTGTACATAAAGCTTACAGAAGAGAGGCAGTAATTCACACTTATACCAAGTATTAATTTAAGAATTGTCAAACTGGTCACATCACACCCACACCTTCAGTGACCATGACAGTGACAGCAACAGTAACATTTCCTCATACCCTCAAATACAGAGGCTCTGTGTTTTTCAGGGTGAACAGAGAAAAATTTTGCATGGACCAGCATGATAGCAGCAACCAAGCTGATGGTAATTTATGCAGAAGTTTCTCAGTTGCTCACAGGAAACTGTCAGGTGTGACAGGAAATGAATATAGATGGATGATGAAAATGGATCTAGCAAATGTTTGATACCAGAATTATATTATTTTTTCTTAAAGACAATACAGACAAGGAAAAGGTAATGTATGTCACCCTGCTGCTACAGGAGGAAGGCAGATACATTTATACAGGTTACATGTGACAGAAAATAAATTGCTCTGAAGAGTTACCCCTAGAATAAGCAATGCAGCTTTTTAAAAATAGCACTGGGGATATTGCCAACTGTATATCAGGTCTTTTTGGGTTTGTTTTTAATTAAAGAAATTACTGAAGCTTTGGTTAAACAGATTGGTCTCAAAATATGTTGAGATTTTATTAAAACATTCACTGACCCTTATGGAACACTGGGCTGCCCAGTACAATACAGACACAGAGTGGCTGGTGTAAGAGCAGCTCAGGATCACAGACTTACGTAAGAGACTTGAGCATGTCTCATATATGCAGAGGTAGAGAGACTTAAAAGAATATTTTCTTCATGTAAACAGATGTCAGCATGCCACAAAAACCCTATCCAAATCATTTTTGTTAATCCTCAGCTTCAAATGAAAGTTACTTTCAGCTGTTGATATAAACTTTTATGAACATATATAAGAGCTGATTGAAAAAAGGATATGTATATCACTGCAGGGTACTACTAATAATAAAGATGGTATAATTACATGAAAGTTAAGATTCAATAATTAGTGATATAACAAGGGAAAAATACTTTTCTTAAAACATTTTGGAATTTATTAAAGTACTACTATTTATGATGTAACAATCTTTACTTCCACTGACAAGAAGTTATTCTTTGCAGCTGCTGATACTTCTAGAAAATAGTTTTCTTTGTTACTAAATTCTAATACTGCATTTGCCTTAGCAATTGGTAAAGCATTTGAAACTATAGTTTTCTGTATTTTCAATGTTATTTAAATTAGCAAAACTATTTTCCTTCATGCATTTAGCTTGCATGGAGATGAAATTTTGTGGTTTTACATTTTGCAGTTATGTGTTTATTTATTAGAAAATGAGTAATAACCTTTGG